GGGATCCCTTCCCTGACAAATGACCTGCATTCTTTTTCCAGGGTCCACTTCCAAGGGGATCCAAACGAAGATACCTCCCAGAGATGACTGTGAAGGTTGAATGGGGGAAATGTCGGGACGGAGCAGGTATCCTGAAAGCCCTCAATAAAAAGCAGTTATTACTTATCCCTTTGGTTTTGAAGCACATGCTATACTCCCTTCACCTTTTATCTTAAGGGACAAAGAGGGAAGCCAAACAGCCTTTGCAAGTGAACATTTATTATAAGTTTTACTCACATGAAAGATGTGTAGCAAGCAGCTAATAAAATACACAATACTGCTTATTGTAAATTCCACACGGCCAGTTGATTCTCAAAGAATGCCTTCATTGATCGTTCTTAAACTCACATATCCACAGTCAACCTACAGGTGCAATCACAGAATGAGGGCACTTCTCACAGGAATGTTGGTTAATATTTCCATTTATGTTAACAAAAGCGAAATGATCAAGACTTCGTTAGTTCACTACTGACATGAGCAACTTCTCTTCTGACTCAGATAATAGTTTTCAAAGGCTCGGAGAAGAGGTCCTCGGTTTGGGGAGCTATTTTATAACATAACAGCTATAGACATGACACATTTTAAGTTTATTCTGTGTACTTTCTCAGGTTTAAACAATCACCATGAAAACATAAATTAAGCTCTGGGGTGTGGCAGTTGTCCGTTTCCACAGCATAAATATTCCCACTATGGCTGGTTTCAAACTCTCAAATCAATGTCATTTGTCACACGAATGTAGAGTTAGGAAGATGGAGGTGGCCTGTTGTTACCTATACTCCCATTTTGTTATTTAGTCGCTAAGTCAGGTCCAACTCTTTTGCGACCCCATGGACTGTAGCCCACCACATTCCTCTGTCCATGGGATTTCCCAGGCGAGAATCCTGGAGTGGGTTGCCATTTCCTTCTCTAGGGGTGTCTTCCTGACCCAGGAATTCAACTGGTGTCTCCTGCATTGGCAGGCAGATTCTTTAACACTGAGCCACCAGGGAAGCCCATAGTTCCATTCGATAACAGCAAAAATCTAGTAAAAGAATCAAGAAATGATGAATTTTGGCTACTTACTATTGCTTTTCTTAATTCACAAAATTTGTTTTTAGAGCAGTTTTAGGTTCACAGAAAAATTGAGCAGAAAGTACAAAGAGTTCCCATATACCCCCATCCTCCCCGCCCCCAAGACTCAACCTATCAGCCTCCCCTCCCACCCCGAGTGATGCATTTGTTACAGTCAGTGAACCTGCACTGACAGGTCATCACCCAATGTCCACTGCTTACACTGGCATTTGCTCCTGACGTACATCATGTGGGTTTGGACAGTTGTATGACATGCGTTCATCATCACAGTATCATGCAGAGTAGTTTAATCGCTACCTTTGTTTTTTTTTTTTTTTACACTCCAAATATTCTAGTGTTTCACCTGTAAGGATAAACAGTTCAAGCAAACAAGACTTTAACAGAACATATGGCTTTACAATAACACAATTTATCAACTAAGTTGTAGCAATAAATACTTAATCTCTACCAATAGACTTACATTTTTTGATCCGTTTTTAAACAATACAGAAAACAGTTACCAATTAAAAACTGGTTATAAAAAGAACACCAAATATTTCTTATTCAAAATCACTTTTGTAAGTTAGAACAACCAAAATACCTTTTTTTTAATACAAGTTATTTCATTGTAACTCAGGGCTTCCCAGGTGGCTCAGTGGTACAGAATCTGCCTGCCAATGCAGGAGTCGCCAGTTCAGTCCCTGGGTCAGAAAGATCCCTTGGAGGAGGGCATGGCAACCCACTCCAGTATTCTTGTATTCTCTCCTGGGGAATTCCATGGACAGAGAAGCCTGGTGGGCTACAGTTCTCAGGGTGGCAAAGAGTAGGACACGACTTAGCAACTGAGCAAAGCGCACTTACATAATTTAATTTTTGACGGTGACTCTGTTTAACACCTTGCTCATAAAATTCTTGGAATTGGTTCCCAGGATCCAGTGGCTTGTCAGCTCCAGTCCATCTCTGCCCTTGGGCTTCCAAAGAGAAACCGAAGTCCCCGGGCCTCACCTGTAAGGCCACCCAGTGTTTACCAGCGAAGCCAAACCTGCTCTGAGGACCTGGTAACTGGGTGGGGCTAGATCTCATCCTTCCCTCCTTGACCCTTCCCAGGGCAGATGCTGCCAGCGCTGCCAACCATCAGGTGCCTGTGGGGACCGCCTGGCTTGGGGACGGGCACAAGGCCTGGGAGCCACACGAGCAGCTGCACCAGGTCGGCCAGCATTAAGGGCAGCATCTCCAAGCTCTGTATCCTTCCGGCATGTAGCTTTGGAGTTACTGCGGTCAAGCTTTCAGACGGAGGCCCTGAGAAGTTTACAATAAAAATCAGAAGCAGTTTTACGTGGAGGAGGAATTAATTGGATAGCTCCGGCCTAAAGTTTCTCTCTTCACAGGCTTAACTAGCACGGCTATTAATTTTATTGCCCTCCAGAGAGATTTACGCACAGCAGGCTGCCTTGAAGAGACAGCCCTTGGAGCAGAGCCTGGCTAGGCCCAGGAGGGAGCCTCCTGAATGCTCAGAGGTTCTGGGCCCGCAAAGCTGGGGGGCTGGGGCTTCAAAAACAGCAGATCTCACAGTCTATGGGAATGGATGCTCCCAGGACAGGGAGATTTGCTCCACCGTTCAAGGACACACAGAAGAGGCACCAGTCCAATGATTTACTTAACAAACACTCGCATAGTGCTTGCAATGTCTCAAGCACTGTTTTAAACACTTTGCAAATAATATATGTAAATGTCATCAACCAGGTGCTAGGAAGCCCATTTTAAAGATGAGTAAATAGAGGCCTCGGAAGGACGCGTGACAGGATTTGAACCCTGGCAGTCTGGCTCTGGCATCGGTGCTCTTCACTGTGATGCCCTTAGGAAGGCAGCCAAGAGTGGAGTAGTAAGGAACTTACCTGTAGCTCAATGAGACGGCTTTGGTTGATGTGAGCGTGGGGCAAGGGGAGAGAGGTGTTGGGGTCCAGATTTTAAACACAGGCACACACACACACGCTCATACACAAAGTTGGATATGTATGCACACAACATTACCATGTGTGGATGCACACGTACATATGAAGACCTGTGTATACACATTGATACATCCACACATGTGCACACATACAGTCACACACTCGTGTACAAACACTTTTTCTGGACCCTGAGTGTAGAGGCAGGTCCTTGAAATAGGAGACTGTCCCCAGGAGATGACTGTTCTAGAAAGTTCCCTCCGGCCTGAAGCATATGCAGAAGTCTCTTCTGCACTTCAGCTTCCTCATCTGAAGACTGGGGGACCCCTGTTTCCTGTTATGAATGGAAAAGGTCTTTGGAAACTATAAAAGTAAGGGCATGTGTGAGGTGCTTTCAAAAGGCCACATCCTTATTAAGAGAGTAAAATGTGAAAGATATGCCCTTAGCTCTCAACACCCCGTGTCAGCAGTCCTCAACCTTTTTTGGCATCAGGGACAAATTTCATGGTGGACAGTTTTTCAGTGAATTGTGGTGCAGAGCTGGGGGGTGGATGGTTTGGGGGTGATTCAAGCACATTCCATTTATTGTGCACTTTAATCTAATGCTACTGCTGACCTGACAGGAAGTACCGGTCCACAGTCCGGAGGTTGGGGACCCCTGCCTTTGTCACCTTGAGAGTGGTGGTGGTGATGTGTGTGTGTGTGTGTGTGTGTGTGTGTGTGTTTAGAAAAAGAAGAAACTGGGACCCTGAAACAAGTAAGAAAAAGGCACAGGGTCACCCAGCAACTTGATGGCTGAGCTAGGTCTTAAATCCAGGCCTGCCTGAAATCCTCACTGAAATCCTCACGATTCCTGCCTGGCGTCCCATTTCTCCCAGGCCACTCGCCTCCCCTGACCCTTTGACCTCCCCATCCCAGGGGCGGGGCTTGTGGACACTCCAGCCGGCCTCTCGGGACAGCCGGCCACAAGTCATTAACTACCAGCAATGCCAGCCAACTTAGAAAATTTGCCCAGCCTGAGAGGCTGTTAACAGGCCTTTGTCTACCTCTGCTTCTTCCTGCATGCTTTCCTGACTTTCCTTCCTGTGAGCAATAGCGCCTTTCCCCCAGCGGGACCTGTGGACATCAGAAGAAGGAAGGCAGCTCACAGAGGCTTGGACGCCTGGCCTCGCCACTCCCTGCCTGTAATATGGGCATGAAATATAGCTAACCCTGCAAAAACCATCAAGTCCAGGGCCAGGTAAGAGGCCGTGCTTGTTAAGTGCAAGAAATAAAAAGGAATTGTCAGGGTGCAACAGCCCTCCAGAGAGTGAAGCATAAAGAGGGGATGGTTGGGGAACAGGGGGAGATTGGTTCATTTAACCTCTGAGAAACAGTGCCCACTGGACCAGAGAGAGCTGCCCAAGGAGACCAAGCCACAGAGTGACCTCTTTGTCTCCAGACCCCGAGGCTTGGGTGGTGGCCGAAAACGGAAAGAATAGCAGCCGCAGAGTAGGAAAGGCCTGTGGCGTCAGAAAGACCAAGGCTTGAGCCCTGTTCTGCCACCTCCGTGCTGGGCCACCTCACCAAAATCACACAGCCTCTCTGAACCTCCGTGTCCTCACCCATGAAATGGAGATAATTCCATCCGAGCTCTGCGATGGTCGCAGACTGTGGAAAGGCAGACCCAGAGCAGGCGTTCCATCCATGGTAGGGACCCTCATGTGGCAAGGTCTCAGGAAAACTCCAGATCTGCCCACTGGAAAGAAAGCCCCCGGCACCTCATTCCCAGGGTGCTGGGGGCTCCTCTCCCCTCTCTGAAAATTAAATTAAAGCTCAACAGTAGTGCCTTTGTGGCTTACGCATGGCAGGCCTCGCCGGCAAGTAGTCTTAATATCCACCGCTGACAGGATGGAATTAGCTGCCTGTTTTTTTTTCTTGGGGGTCTTTATTTCTTGCTCTAACCTTCGTTCTCCCCCACAGGGGTGTACGCTGGTGTCTAATACCGTCCTGAGTGCACTGGGCTGCTCCAAAGCGGGGCAGGCGGAGGCCCTGGCCCCGAGCAGACCAACGTAAGCGCTCCTGGACTGGCCAGCACAGGGGCTGCAAGGCACGAGAGAATCAGTGGAGAATTACCGTTAAGCCTTCTGACCATTATCCTCATTAGAGGTAACTGGAGCTTGCCTGGCCCGAACGCAGCTCTAAGCCCCACTAAGACGGGACGCACTCGGAAAGAATACGCTGGATGTAATTTAATAATCCTGGAAACAAGTCCACACTTTTTTTTTTTTTTGGTCTTTGGCCCAAAGGAAAGGTAATTCCTGCAGCAGCCAGAGAAGTGGAACGTGCCGACGGGGGAGAAGAGCCTAGGTCGGGTGGACGAGGACTCAGTGGGATTTGAAGACCATGCTCTATTTCTCCTGGAGAGAATCATCCCCGCTTCCTCCACACCCCCAGCTAGGTCTCCGCTGGCCCTTGAACCTCCCAGAACCTCCACGTGCATTGGAGAATGGTACCTTTTTCTCCAGGTCCATGCAGCCCCCATGTTGGACATTGCACGCAGGGCCCGCACTCGGTGCCCCTTGGCACGTCCCTAGGTAGAGACTTCCTTGCCACCTTCTTGAACTCAGACAGTGCCTGACAGTTTCTAAAGCACTTTTGCATCCTTCACATCTTTGGATTCTCCCACAATTCTCTGAGAGAGGCAGGATGGGATTATTATGGCCATTTCACAGACAGGAAAATGGAGGCCCTTAGGTGTGAAATGACTTCAACCACAGGGCTTCCAGAGACCAAGGCTAGATCTGGAGCTCAAGCCTCCTGACTCTGAATCCAGGCACCTTTCTTGTGTGTGCTTGTTCTCCAAGGCTGTTATGGGCTAAATTGTGTGACTCCCGCCCCGCCAGATCCAGATATTGAAATTCCAACCCCAGTGCCTTAGACTGTGACTGTGTGCAGGTAGGGTCTCTAAAGATGAGATTAAGTTAAAACGAGGTCATTAGGTGAGTCCTGACCCAATACGACTGGGCGCTTGTATTAGAAGAGGAGATCAGGACACAGACAGACACCCACAGGGAGAAGAAGGGATGCCCTAGTTGGGCATTTGCCACCTACCTATTGGGTTTTTCCCTGGTGGCTCAGATGGTAAAGAATCTGCCTGCAATGCAGGAGACCCGGGTTCAATCCCTGGATTGGGAAGTTCCCCTGGAGGAGGACATGTCTACTCACTCTAATATTCTGGCCTGGAGAATTCCATGGACAGAGGAGCCTGGTGGGCTACAGTCCACGGGGTCGCGAAGAGTCAGACACCACTGAGTGACTAACATGTTCCCTTTCTCCATTGGAACTGAGAACCCCTGATATTGGTGGTGCCAGTAGGTAGGGAACAATAGGCCCCAACTGCTTGGTTATCCAACAACCTGAAGCTCCATAGACCAGCCATGTAACTTTGGCTGAGCCTCCTCCTGAGAGATGGAGGAAAAACCGAGTGAGCGCCCTGTTACCCTCCCCACCTTCCTGACTGCGAACCGAGTGAGTGGGCTGACTGGTCTCGGTGGGAGGCCATGGAGAGGGTGGGCCATTCAGGTGGGTGACCCTCCTAAAAGTGAAAGCGAGAGACCAGGAGGACATGACTGTCCCTGGGCAGAAGGTGGCCTTCCCAGGCAGCCTGCCAGGAATGTGCAGATGGGATAGGGACCCTCTCCCCATGGTTCCAGGTCCTGTCTGTCTGCTCTTTAATCAAAGCAGCATCTGTCTTGTGGACCCAAATCCCCTGCCTTCCCAGGGCCCTCGACAGCACCTGAGATGTATAAACAAGGCCTGAGCAGTCGGCTATCGAATTAGGCCACTTCTGGCATTGCTATCGTTGGCAGAGCAGTTCCCCCTGTGATTGTTATCAGCTATAATCAAATCTGGAGAGTGGCTGGAATGCTAATACCTTCTGCAGCAGCGTGTCCTTCGGTGGACACGGGCAAGCCATCCCCCTGTTTGCCAAGTCTCCACAGGGGCTCAGATTCACCCCGACTGTGTTTTAGGGAGGCAGTTCCCCAGATGAGCACTGTCAGCAGGATAACCGGTCAAGTGATGCCATCTTGTGTCCCAGGAGAGGGCCTCCCACCCCAGAACTGGGTTTTGAGTTTGATGGCTAGTGTGAAGGTGACAGCCATGGATTGGGGCTCCTGCCCCAGCCCTGCTAGAAAGGTGCACAGGTGAGCTCCAGGGGGCCTTGCCTGTGATCTGTTAGAACCCCAAAAAGAAGCATTCATTTATTTATTCACTAAGCAAAGGTGGGTTTCACACTTTCCCACAAGGCCTGGACTAAGAGGAGTTCCCGCCCTCCAAAGGCTCTCCTTCCAGGACACCATCCCTCCAGCTAACTGTAGCATGTACATTACAGCATGTGTGTTACAAACACCAGGAAGGACTCAGAATGGAGGGGCATTCTGGAGGACTTCCTGGAAGAAGCTACATGTCAGATGAATCAGAGGCAGCATAGTGAGAAGAGGGTATTGTGACAAAAGCCTCTACTCAAGGACCCTCGGGAGTCCCAGCAGAAGGGGCTGAATTGGACAAACAGGAAATCAAAAGTCACACAATCAACATGGATAGAAGGAAAGAGGGGAATCTCATGGTCCCCAGTTTCAGTGACAAGGAAAGAGGCCCCCCACCAGAAAAGGGGATGTGGGGAGGGGGGTGGCTGGAGGGAAAGGCTGGGTTGGGCTACAGCTGCTTGAGGGTGGGGGCCTGAATGCTAACCATCTTTGGGGGGCTCTGTGACCTCCACGGGGTGTTGACAAGAAAAACTGGCCAATCCTTTAGGCCCAGCAGGGGCCTGAAGTCCTCCCCAAGCACATGTCCTAGACCCAGGAACTCCAGTGCAGAGGATGGATTGCTGGGGTCCATACACGCCTGGAGGGGCACCTTGGCCCCCAGGAACTCACACTGTGGAGGGAAGAGACAGGCAGTAACAGGAAACACAAAACCTGACCAGAGAAGAAGATTATTTCATTTGTAAGTGTTCTGAAGGCAAAAAACAGGTGAAGTGATAGATAGTGGATGACAGAGGCAGAGGTGGGAGGGGGCTAAGGTTAGATGAAAGAATACATGAATTTGCATTATGATCAAATCCAAGTTTGACAGTATATTTTCTATTCTTTGCTAACTGATGAGCCCACTGGTGAAGTGGTTCGGAGCTTTGTAGGCTCCAAGCCCATGTGACCTCCGAGCCTCAGCTTTCTGATATGTAAAACGGAGCTAGTAATGCCAGTACCTCCCTCATATGGGGATTTGCTGCAATGAAGGACACAGCCCAGCGCCTGGCCCATAATAAGTGCTTAGGAATAGTCACCACATTGTATTATGAAAGTGAGAGTTGCTCAGTCGTGTCCGACTCTTTGTGACCCCATGGACTATACAGTCCATGGAATTCTCCAGGCCAGAATGCTGGAGTGGGTAGCCTTTGCCTTCTCCAAGGGATCTTCCCAACCCAGAAATCGAACAGGGAGATCGCAGCATCGCAGGCAGACTCTTTACCAACTGAGCTATCAGGGAAGCCCATCGTATTATGGGGTTAGCCTAGAAGTTCGTTGGGGTTTTTCTTTACGATCTTATGGAAAAACCCGAACGAAATTTTTGACCCACCCAATACTCATCGTTTATTCACTGACCAGTCTCTGCCCTTGCCCCTATACTAACCCAGCCCTGCAGGCGCCCAGAAGGAACGGAGCCTCTTATTGCCTTGTGCAGCATCATTTTAAAGTACTTTCACCTGTATTAGTCCTCTTGAGTCCTCCAGTGTGACCCTGCAGGCAGCAAGCACGTTCAGGCTCACTTTTCAAATGAGGAGAAAAGTCCCTGACAACTCCCTGAGGCCCCTGTGTCTTCTGCTCACCTCTGATGCTTTGGCTACAAGCTCTATTCCTTTCAATGCAGGAGGCAGAATGGAAACTCTTCAAAGCAAAAAAGTGAGGATGCAGAATATTAAAGGGGTTATGGTTCTCCACATTATAGGGTGGAGTGGCTGATGGAGTGACCTCTGGGAATGAGTGGCAGGGATGAGGCTGGAAGGAGCCCAGTCCAGTGACCCAGCAGACCATTTGGACCAGAACTCCCGTTGGGCAACCGGGTTTAGCAAATTTGTGTGGCAGAAAGAGGCTTCTGATGACCTGCTTTGAGAAACTGAACGTGCTTCTTACAGCTTCTCATGTGATCCTCTTGCAGCTCCCTGAAACTGACATCATTGATCCCAATTTACAGATGAGGAAACTGAGGCTTAGGAGGATTAAGTAACCCACCCAGACCACACTGTTCACAATGGGCAGCAAGCCAGGAGTTCAGCCTGGACTTGTCTTTTCTTGTCGCTGTGCTTCCTTCAGGAAAGCTGATGCCAGCCCAGAAGCCGTTCCACAGGCCTGTGCCCTCCCCTCCCCTCTGCTCACAATGGGACTGCAAACATCCACGTATGGGGCGCTTTCTACGTTACTTTCACACGCAAGAAACTCCAACCACCCCCTCACAATCAGTACCAGTTTCTATCCTGGAATCTTTGTAAATTCAAGGAATATCATCTACCTTCAGAGCAGAGATTTGAAAGCTCTGAGCCCTTGTTGCATCTAGAAAGCTCCAAGGGCCCTCAAGGCTGCCAATTCCAGACAACCAAGAAGTGCCAGGATTCGAATCTGCCATTAATACATCCCAGTTTTATGGTGATGCCCCGGGGACTATGATGTCATCTCAACACATCGTAGATTAAAAGCTTGTTCCTGGACACACGTCTGCTCATACATGTTTCATGAAACACCTACTGGGGTGTCCTGTGTCCCAGCCTTGGGAACAAGTGCTGGGTACACGTGGGGCACAGAGTTCCCACCAGAGTTCCTGGACTCACATGTGAGGGTTGGGGGCAGGCAGCCAACCGCAGCCAACACTGTGTATAGAACTGCGTGACGGAGGCAAACACGGGGCTCTGAGTTGACCCGTGTGGACAATTCTGAGGGCTGGCCTACTGGTCTGAACCCTAAAGGGCCATATATTTGATCCTTAAATCTCTCTCTGTGGCAGGTGGACCAGGGAT